TGCTACTGCTTCTAGTCAGTCAGCCATCTTGGCCCTGCACCCCATAATTTTTCATATGTAACTGGGAACAATGGCTTCTGTGCTCCTTACATGGCAGACCGGAAACTGAACGTCTGATTTATATTCTGAGGTTTCACTGCTGACACATTTGGTGCCTACTCTTATTTTCCCCCTTATGACTCACTTCTAGAAATGGCAAAAAGAAAGCCCAGGTGCTCCCTTATTTGGTGCCAGCATGAAAATCAAACTGCACAGTCCTCTGCCTGAGCACACATAAATACAAACTCTCACCATGGCCCCAACAAAAAAACCTATAAAAATTTACAGACCAATTTTTTTTTTTTTTCTTTTTAACTCTCTCAATCCATTCTGCACCAACTTGAGAGGCCTAACCTGCTCTCTAAAGACATCAGTTATTAAGATAATAAACACTTTTATACCCTCTGGGTGCATAATTAGCATAATTATGTGTACATTGCAAATACATTTTGCATATTGGTTCTATAAATCAATCCCATAGATCTTTGCATTCCAATGAATGCTGCTGCTCATTTTTATACAGGTGTGTGTAATTATGAGGCTGTGCAACTGATTATTTAGAAAAACACCTAAAAATTGTTACTAATCTTTTGCTACCAAAACTGAATTATAACTCATGTTAAGATGCTGCAGGACAAACATAGTAAAAATATGTAGTAAGTATTTTAAATGTATTGAAAGTGAAAATAGCTCTTTTCAAAATTTCTGGGATGAGGTGAAAGCAGTGCTTTGAAATTTATAGCACTGAATGCAAATATTTATAAAATAAAATTAGTAATATAATATTCCAGTTTAAGACACTAAAGGAAGTGCAATATAAACCTAAATCAGTCAAAAGAAAAAAATCAAAACAATTGTACCATAAAGAAATGAAACTAAGAAAATCAACAGAGAAAAATCAGTGGAACAAAAACTGATTGTTTGAAAAGATTAATAAAATTAATAAATATTAAGCCAAGATACAAAAAAAGAGAAAAGACACAATTGATAAATATATAAAAAAATGAATGATAGGCTAGCATTTCTAACTGCATGGGCATTAAGAGGATTAAAAAAATACTATGGATACCTCCATTCCCATAAATATGAAAACCCAGATCAATGGAACTAGTCCCTTCAGACACAATCTACTAAAACCCACAAAAGGAGAAACCTAAATAATACTATATCTATTAATGAAATGGAATTAGTATCTACCTAGTAACCTTCAGAAAAACTTATGTTCAGCAATTTTAACTTATTTCAACTTGTGGGATTCAGGGGTTCCCACTTTGTAAAGAACATGTAGAAGTAGCAAATACTTTATTACTCATTGGATCGGAAAATCCATGTCAACCATGGTCTATTACAGCACAATGAGTGCTATGACTATGGAGAATTTAAGCTTCACGATACTTGTTTCTTGATTAAAGGACAGTATACTTGTTTTATATACAGTTAACTCCCACTAAGACCACAGGGGAACCATATTTAAATTTTGTGGCATCACCAAGTATGATTCTTTCATAACCTGTATTGACTATCTGAACATTGCCCAATTGATGCATTTCAACAGATTTTAAAATTCATAGGCCATTTTGCAGAAGCAAGAAACCCAATCAGCATCCAATTATCTAGTTTTATATATTATTTAGTAAACTTCAGATTCCCAATTAGGTCAAACTGTAAAACTTTTTCTCTTGAATAGGAGCTCCTTTGAGGCCAGTGGATGAACTGTGTTATAAATGTATTCCTGAAGAAAGACTAAAACCAACATTGTCATTGCTACATGCCTCCTACAAGGTAATAGTTGTGTTGTAGGGTTTAAGAATTCTATGTATATGTTTGGTTGAATTAACTCCTTTGCTGTGTCATATGGGTGCCATGGTGGTTTCTCCCCAAAGCAGGTTCACTGTGTACTGTTATCAACTTGACTATGATGAGAGAGAACACATTCATAAACATATAAGTCAAATTGTTACTTATAAAGGCATCAAAGAAGACAAGAAGTTTAAAATTCAATGTGATGTGGTACTCTAAGGTTCAGAGAAGATGCCTAGAAGGGCGAAATTTTGATTGCATGTGGCCCATTTGCAACACAGTTAAGAGACTCATGAAAATAGCCCAGCCCAGTTTTTATTGCCTAGAATTACCTGACTCACTGGCCAAAACTGTTGGACATTGTATTTCTAGTAAAGACTAAGTCTGGGCTGTTCTACCATTCCCTCCTGACTTCAGGATGTTGCATTCCCAGCACATTTTACACGTATTCTTAAGAACTGCAAGTAAGAAAGGGGGTAAAACTGGGCCAGTTCTCAATTCTTAACAGTGAGGGAACAGGATATTTTTTTGACAGAAACAAAGGCAGTAGCAGTAGAGAAATTTCAGTGTCCTAATGGCCCATCTGCTATTTGGTTTCTGGACCAGAGCATGACTCATGACTGCTTTTCCCTTTCCATAAAAACTGCTTCAGAATATATTTAATTCTTCTTATGCAAAGTAGCAGCATTTGTTTTATCAGTAGTGTGGGCAATCTGTGGTCAGTGAAAAAAGTTCAAAAGTCCATCAATCCACATTGAAGACCCCCAACATCCTCCAGTGAGTGCCACTCAATCTTGCTGATGTTAGCAACATACAGTAAGGTCATTTTGACTAAGGCCCTGTAAGGTTACAAGGTTAGGCCTTTGGCATGCTGATCAGTTGTGCTAAAAGAAGCCCATACACAAGATAGGGGTTCTGCAATGAAAGAGACTAATATCAAATGCTTCTTCCCCTTTTCTTTACTCATCATTGCCTGGACCATCAGGCACCATTGATATGCACCTCATCAGAAGTGTGCACATAAAAGCAGCAGCACAAGAAACACTCAAGGCCACTAACCTTGCACAAGTAATCCTGTTAGACCATTAGGTGACATGCTTAATTCTCTCCAGGGTGGGGATATTCTTTCTTCCTACAACTACACACACACACACACACAAAATCCCTGGAGCTGTCCCAAGTGTGTACACTAATAATGTTCATATAGCTACTTCAAGCATCCAGTGATGGTAACCAAGGTAGATGCAGTTACCACAGTGCAAGAGTCTTGACTTTTGATAATCAGAAATAAAGAACCCAGTGGTGAAGGTGCTGTGTTTTCACTGCCTTAATATGGGGTACCTTGGAAACACAGATCAAGGTGGAGCATACATCCTGCAGGGGCATGGTCACTTAACCAACCATGTCTAGGAGTTGAGAGTCTTACTGTAGGACAAAGTGACAACACCTGATAAAGAACACAAAGTGCTGTGTGGACCAAAGTGGAAGTCCATCATTATTTGGTGGTTCTACTTCTGGTGACTTTTATTATATTATAAAACCAGTTAGACAAAAGCAGTTTAAGTTGAAAAGATATCATCAGTCATGGTTGGTCTATTCTGTTGGTAACGCCAGTTGTTTCCACAGTCTCACTGGTGAACAGAAAAATTAGGACCCTAAGGCTACAGGGAAAAACGCATGACAGCCATGGCTGTACAGATAAGATTAACAGCAGTTATTAGTTACATGTAGACAAAAGAGGAAGGGTACTGTAAATGAGGCTGGCCCACACAGGACTTGCACTAAGGAGCAGATAGAACAAACAGGGTGTAAAGGGAATGCTTTGTACTGTCTAGAATGTGAGATGCTCCTTGGTTCTCATGAGGATGCAACTGGTTTAAATGCATCTGTGAAAAGTTAGACTACAGGATTAGATCAAAATAGTATAATATAATTTTGTAATATAAAATATATTGTGTGAATTAGACATAAACTAGATATGCACAACTCATACTTACAAAACTGTACTATACCAAGTAATATATATAGCTATGTATACACATATAAGTACACATGTGGACATGCCATATACTAAATGTCTATACTATATGGTAAACTGGGGCACACAAATTTCTTTGAATATAAATGCAAAAGGCCACAATAATGCACTGGAAAACTGAACATATCAATATTGGTTGAGTGTTTCTTATCTGAAATACGTGGAAACAGAAGTGCTTTGGATTTCAGACTTTAAAATTTTTTGGAATATTTACAGAAAATGTACTAGTTGAACATCAGAAATCCTCTAATGAGTGTTTCTGTTGCGCAAAATACTGGTGCTCAGTTTTAGACTTCAGAGCATTTCAGATTTGGTATTTGGAATCTGGGGTTTACAGATGCTCAAACTGTAGATAAAATACTTATATTCCGTGATGAAGACAAATTTCACTCAGAAAACCATAATATATTTATATTTGAAAGCCAGTCAATGTAATAGACTACTAATAGAATGTCAAAAACCACAAATCATCTCAGTAGATGCAACAAAAAACATGTTGTAAGAGTTCAACATGTAACAATAAATAAAAAATACAAGAAAATTTCCTGAACCTGTTTTAAAATATTTATGAAAAACCCACAACATACTTTATGGTGGGACTGAATGCTTTCACACTCAGATTAGACAAGCATACTGTCCAATCACAGTTCTCTCTTAATTCAAAGTAAAAAGTGAGCCAGGTGTGGTGGCTCATGTCTGTAACCCCAACATGTGGAGAGGCTGGGGCAGAAGCATAGTTTGAGGCCAGGAATTCAAGACCAGCCTAGAAAATACAGTGAGATGGTGGCATGTGTCTGTAACTCCAGCTACATAGGAAGTTAAGGTGGGAGACTCACATGAGCCCAGGAGTTTGAGGCTAGAGTGAGATATGATTTTACCACTAGACTTCAGCCTAGCTGACAGAGTGAGACCCTATCTCTAAAAACATAATTTTTAAAAAAAAGTGAACTATGCAAGTAGCCAAAAATAATGACAAAAGGAAACAAAACGAAAATAATAATGCATGAGACTATATAATAAAATTCACATACTTGCAAATTATGTGCATTTTATATTTTTTATTAATTTTTAAAATTAATTATAAAATTTTATTTTTTATTAGCAAAGAAAATAGAAAATCTTTACAACAAAAAAAGCAGTTTTTTCCATAAAAAGATAAAACATATATACACACATATACGTATCTATATACACACACACATACATACCCGCATGCACACACACAAAATGGGTGAGGAATAACCAAAACTTGCCACATAAGATCAGTAAGAAATTTCCAATAATTAAAAACTCATTTTTTAATGATCCATTAATTAGAAAACAAATAACTAAATGAAAATTAAAATTGCCTACATTTAGAAATATATTTCAACTCAGCCTAGGGATCCAATAAATTTTTTAATGAAGAGACAACAATCATGTTAATGGATGAGAAAAAAAAAATGCCTATTAAACTCATGTACTATGGCTTATCTATGGAATTCTCAACTCAATGATTCCTTGTAAAACAATTGAAAATCACCTTGTTTAACAATTGATAAAAATATAACTAGTATAACATTTATAAACTTTTGAGTATTATGCAATAATTTCATCATACTTTTCTATTTACCTGTATTTACAGGATTTCATTCCAATAGTTTTCACTTGTCTTTTGAAGTAACTGTTAAAAACTTTCCTGTATTTTCTCAAACAACCAGGGTTTTACCTCAGTGTGCTTTTACTTACCAGGTCCATCTCCAATGTATGTTATCATGTATTTTTCAATAGATATTTGAGAAATAAGGGCATTCCAACACTCTATATTCATATGGTTCTCAGAAATTAGTTCTTCCATGTCTTCAAATGGAATTGGCATGTATTTACATTCATAAGGCTTTTCTCCGCTGAGTCCTTCTATGATTTCAAAAAATTAAAAAACTTTCTAACTTGTAAGCTTTATTTTAAAAAGAATGGAAAAACTGAGGTCTTTACATTTCTGAAAATTACAATGTTTTTATCCATTGTGAATTATTTTATATATTTGAAAGTGACTGGAAAACTTAAATGCTTTAAAACATTTCTTGCATTTTATGAGGTTCTTTCCCAGTATGGGTTCTTCTATGTTTTAGAAGGGAACTAGGAAAATTGCATACAGTCTAACAGTCCTTACATGTTTTGGGTTCCTCTCTAGTGTGAGTTTTTAATTTTTTCACATGTTCTAATGAAATTAGAATATCTGAACACTTTAACACACTTCTCACATAGATGCGTGTTGTTGTTGTTTACCACATATAAGATCTTTCATGTTTTTGAAGGGAACTGGAACAACTGAAAGCTTTACCACATTTCTTACATTCGTAGGGTTTTACTCCAGTATGAGTCCTTTCATGGCTTCGAAGGGCACTGGAAAAAGTAAATAACTTACCACATTTCTTACATCCATAAGGTTTCACTTCAGTATGAGTTCTTTCATGCTCACAAAGGTTACTAGAATATTTGAAGGCTTTACCACATTGCTTACATTCATAGGGCTTTTCTCCACTGTGAGTCCTTTCACGTACTCTAAGGACTCTGGAACATCTAAAGGCTTTGCCACATTTTATACATTCATAGGGTTTTTCTCCAGTATGAGTTCTTTCATGTATTCCCAAATAAGTGGAACAACTGAAGGCTTTGCCACATTCCTTACATTCATAGGGTTTCTCTCCAGTATGAGATCTTCCATGTTGTTGAAGAGAACTGGAAAAAGTGAATGATTTACCACATTTCTTACATGCATAAGGTTTTTCTCCAGTATGAGTCCTTTCATGTTCATGAAGATAACTTGAATAATTGAAGGCTTTATCACAATGTTTACATTTATATGTTTTCTCTCCAGTGTAAGTGCTCTGAGGCATTTGAAATACACTGGAAAAATCAAAAGGCTTCTCATATACTGTACTCTTATAAGGTCAATTACTAGTGTGTGTTACCATGTGTCTGTCAACACTTTTGAGAGAGATAAAGGCCTTCCCACATTGTTTGCATTTATATAACTTCTCTGGATATTCCACACACTCAAATAGTTTGTTTCCAGTATGAGATATGATGTGCCTATGAAGGGCTGAATGACATATGAAGACTTTTCCACACACATTGCATTCATATGGCTTTACTCCGGTAGAAATTTTCTTATTCAGATTAAAATTTGAATCCTGGTTGAAGGCTTCTCCATATTGACTGCCTTCTTCAATTTCAAACAATCTCTCTACCATATGACTGCTGTAAAAATAATAAATACATGATTAATGGTACATTTATCCATGATTTACATTGCTATTAATACCAGGAAAAATGCAAGTTTCCTGCCATGTCTGAATTGTTTTAAAGTAAATGAATTCATTACTGTAAGACATGGGTCCCCCATAACTATTATCATAACTGTGACAGTCACATGTACAGTTTCTTACTGGTGCTTCCAAGTAAAATATTCAGAAAATATTCAACATTGATATTACATTCAGGTGCATTTTTGCTGAGAATTTTCTGAAAATAAATAACATTTCTAGTGGTTGTTTTAAAAACCCATGACATGCTAAGATTCCCTTAAGGGCATTTTTTATTGTGAATACAAATTACCTTAGATTTCTCACAGGACTTTTGAAGTCATCTTGCATATTCTGGTTTTCTGACTTGTTTCCTAAAATGTACATACATCCGTAAGATTATTATGAATGATATGAAACTTTAAAAACTGCTAGATGCAAGGTTCATTGTACACTGTGACCACATCTAGGTTTTTTCACAAAGTATCCCCTTTCCACATGTCAAATCAGGAAACAACATTCATGACCAAGAAACCCACCCTCCCTCCCTCCTGTTCCCCTCGCTCCCTCCTTCCCTCCCTTCCTTCCTGTCTTGCTCTGTTGCCCAAGCTGGAGTGCAGTGGCTCAATCTCAGTTCACTGCAACCTCTGCTTCCTGGGTTCAAGCAATTCACCTGTCTCAGTCTCCCAAGTAGCTGGGATTACAGGCTCTTGCCACCAAACCTGGCTAATTTTGGTATTTTTTTCATAGAGACGGGGTTTTGCCATGTTGGCCGGGCTGGTCTCAAACTCCTGACCTCAGGTGATCCACCCACCTCTGTCTTCCAAAGTGCTGAGATTACAGTTGTGAGCCACCACACCCACCCAAAACACTTGTTTTCTATTCAACTACATGAAAAATTGTTATTCTTACCTACAGAAGCCAGGTTCCTGAAGATGTCCTGCATCCCATCTCTGTAGAGACTCTTTTGAGAAAGATCCAGCAAAGCCCACTCCTCCTGGGTAAAGGTCACAGCCACATCTTCAAATGACACTGAATACTGGAATATCCCACAAGTCAAGAGGAGGATGACTTAAGACAGACGGTACTAAAGTCTATACTCATCTCATAAAATCTTGCCATAATTCTGCAGACTTCAAACACTTCTTTCATGACTTGGACATCAGAACTTTACTCTGTCTGCACTTAGTGCTTCCCAAGCAACATTCCTCATGCTAAAATGAAACTTCAGAAAGTCAACAGCAGAGTAGAAACACCTTTCTCATTTGGCAGGTTCAGGGAATAAACAGTGCTGTAACAAATGAGGTCACCCCTAATTTCAATGTTTAAGAGTTTCCTTTGAAGGCCTCTCATAACAAAGTCACGCCATCTGTTGTGCATAAAAGTATTAAGTCTTAGACTACATATCATTAGAAATACCTGCTCACAAAGTCATGCTATCTTTTGTGTACAACAGTTAGTATTAAGACTATATGTCCTTAGAAATATCTGCTCACGAAGTCAGATATTTTGGTGTGAGAAAAGATTTTCTTAGGGATCTCATCACCCTAAGTGAGTGGTTCAAAATGTGTTAACAATCTTATGCAAACAATGTATTATAAGCTGAACCCTAGTTTTATTTTGTTTCTGAAAGCCTACTTTATTTCTTACAGTGGGACCCAGGGGATCAGCCCTAAATAACACTCTGAGCATTAAGTCTCTAATGAGCATTCTTAGTAAACAGTAATTTCACATGTTGTTACAACTTGTTAATTGGAGAAATGAGGCATGAGTGTGATTAAAATAAGAGAATATTTGGAAGCTTGAAGGTAGTTTACTCCAGACCAAGTTGAATCCAGTTATAAAGTGATAATTTATCGTTAATAATACAAAACATTATATGTATGGGGGGGTGAGGGGGAGAGAGGCAGAGTTTTTCTCCTGTTGCCCAGGCTGAAGTGTAATTGCACAGTCTCAGCTCACTGCAACCTCCAGCTCCTGGATTCACGTGATTCTCCTGCCTCAGCTTCCCAAGTAGCTGGGACTACAGGCATGCGCCACCATGCCCAGCTAAGACAGGGTTTCTCCCTGTTGGTCAGGCTGGTCTCAAACTCCCAATGTCAGGTGCTCTGCCTGCCTCTGCCTCCCAAAGTATTGGGATTACAGGTATGAAACACTGTACACGGCCTAACAATTTTATAATTTCTATTGGATAACAATTAAAAGTGAGAAATTGATTTTTTCTTCTAGTCAATATCAAATGTCATATAACTGTCATTTTATTTTCTATTTTCTCATTTCCAAGAAAATTGACTTTTTAAAAAAATAGATGTTCTTTCATGTTAGTATGCTTTGCATATTTTCTCATTTTTAAATAGTGTTCATTTTTACTCTTCATACTAATTCTTTCATATTGCGTGTATTGCAGTTTCATTCTTCTACATGTGGCTTGCCAATTATTCCAGCAACATTTGTTTAATAGGGTGTCTTTTCCCCACTTTATGGTTTTGTTTGGTTTATGGAAGATCAGTTGGCTGTATTTGGCTTCATTTCTGGGTTTTGTATTCTGTTCCATCAGTTTGGGTGTCTACTTTTCTAAAAGTACCATGCTGTTGTGGGGACTATAGCCTTGTAGTACACTTTGAAGTCAGGTAAAGTGATGCCTCCAGATTTGTTCTTTTTATTTCATCTTGCTTTGGTTATTTGAGCTCCTTTTTGGTTCCATATGAATTTTAGAATTTTTTCTACCTCTGTGAAGAATGATAGTGTGATTTTGATGGGAACTGTATTGAAGGTGTAGACTGCTTTTGGTAGTATGGTCATTTTTACAATATTGACTGTACCCATCCATGATCATGGGATGTATTTCCATTTGTTTGTATCACTTGTGATTTCTTTCAGCAGTGTTTTGTAGTTTTCCTTGTAGAGACCTTTCACTTCCTTGGTTACGTATTATTCCCAAATGTTGTTGTTTTTTTTTTCCTCCCAGCTGTCCAAAAAAGTTGAGTTCTTGATTTGATTCTAGGCATGGTCGACGTTGGTGTATAGCAGTGCTACAACTTGTGTACATTGATTTTGTATCCTAAAACTTTACTGAATTTATCAGATATAGGAGGTTTCTAAATGAATGTCTGGGATTTTCTAGGGATATGATCATAACATCAGCGAACAGTGACAGTTTGACTCCCACTTCACCAATTTGGATGCCCTATATTTCATTCTTGTCTGAATGCTCTGTAGAAAATTTCCACAGTTACAATGAATAGAAGTGGTGAAAGTGTGCATCCTTGTCATGTTCCAGTTCTCAAGGAAAAATGCTTTCAACTTTTCCTCATTCAATATAATGTTGGCTGTGGGCATGTCATAGATGGCTTTTATTACCTTAAGGTGTGTCCCTTCTATGCTGATTTTGCTGAGGGCTCTAATTTTAAATAAATACTAAATTTTATCAAATACTTTTTCTGCATCTATTCAGATGATCCTGTGATTTCTGTTTTGGATTCTCTTTACGTGGTGTATCACACTTACTGACTTGGATATGTTAAACCATCCTGCTGCACTGCTATGAAACCCACTTGATCATAGTGGATTGTCTTTGTGATATGCTGTTGGATTCGGTATTTGGTTGAGGATTTTTGCATCTATGTTCATCAGGGATACTGGTCTGTAGTTTTCTTTGTTACGTCCTTTCCTGATTTTGGTATTAGAGTGCTGCTGGCTTCACAGAATGATCGAGAGAATCTGCTCTTTGTCTACCTTTTCAAACAGTGTCAATAGGATTGGAATTTTTTTTTTTAATGTTTGATAGAATTTGGCTGTGAATCCATCTGGTCCTGGACACTTGTTTGTTGGTAATTTTTAAAAGCTACCATCCGTATTGTCGGGATAAGTTCAAACTGCATCCTAATTACCTGCTGTAAGAGTTCTGGATCACTGTTGCGATGACTGAAACTGTAGGTGAGAGAGTGGGATTCATACTGGAATCCTAAGACTCCCACGCAAAATCTGTCATTTGAACTTAGCCATAGGCAGTAAATCTCTGACAGGCTCAAGAAAGAAAAAGGCCAAGAGAAAAAATAGAAGTATACTCATGATGTCACAAATTTCTAACAATCAAATATTATTAGATTTACAGCTTGCCTTTTAAAATACTGTGAGGATTAATAAAGCAAAATAAAATTCTTCACTAAAAAAAAAATAAAAATAAAAATAAAAACTACCATCCGTATTAGTCTATTCTCACATTGCTATAAGGAAATATCTGAGACTAGATTAATATATAAATGAAAGAGCTTTGACTCCCAGTTCTACATGGCTGGGAAGGTTTCAGGAAACTTACAATCATGGCAGAAGGCAAAGGGGAAGTGAGGCACCTTTTTCACAAGGCAGCATGAAGGAGAATGACCAAAGGAGGAACTTCCCAAACACTTAAAATCCATCAGATCGCCTAGAAACTCACTATCACAAGAACAGCATAAAGGAAACCAGCCCCATGATTCAGTTACCTCCACCTGGTCTTCTCCTCGAAACGTGGGGATTATGAACACAAATTCAAGATGAGATTTTGGCTGGGGACACAGACAAACCATATCACTTCACTCCTGGCCCCTCCCACATCTCATATCCTCACATTTTAAAACAATTTTTTTTGTTGTGAACAAAACAATCCTCCCAAACCTTAACTAAGTCCAGCATTATCCTACAAGTCCAAGTCTAAAATCTCATCGAAGACAAGTTCCTTCCATCTATGAGCCGGTAAAATAAAATCATTTATCTCCTAGATAAAATGGGGGTAGATGCATTGGCTAAATACACCTGTTCCAAATGGGAGAAATGGGCCAAAACAAAGGGGCTACTGGGCCCATGCAAGTCCAAAATCCAGCAGGGCAGTAAAACCTTAATGGTCCAAAATTATCTCTTTAACTGTATGTCTCACATCCAGGCCATGCTGATGCAAGAGGTGGGCTACCACAGCCTTGGGCAGCTCCACCTCTATGGTTTTGCTGGGTACTGCCCCCTTCCTGGCTGCTTTCACAAGGTGGCATTGTCTGTGATTTTTCCAGGTGCATGGTGCAAGCTGTCAGTGAATCTACCATTCTGGGGCCTGCAGGAGGGTGGCTGTCTTCTCACAGCTCCACTAGGCAGTGTCACAACGGGGGCTTTGTGTGGGGATTCCAAAACCACATTTCCTTTCCACACTGCCTTACCATAGGTTCTCCACATGAGCTATGCCACTGCAGCAAACTTCTGCCTAGACATCCGGGCATTTCCATACATCCTCTAAAATCACAGTGGAGGTCTCCAAACCTCAATTCTTAACTTCTGTGCACCCATAGGCTCAACACCAAGTGAAAGCTGCCAAGGCTTGGGGCTTGAACCCTGGGAAGCTGTACACTCAGGGTTTAGCCATAGCTAGGACACAGCCCCAAGTCCCAAGCAGCAAGGCACTGAGCCTGGATCATGAAATTATTTTTTCTCCTATGCTTTCAACCATGTGTTAGGAGGGAATGCTATAAAGACCTCTGACATGTCCTGAAGACATTTTCCCCATTGTCTTGGCAGTCAACATTTAGATCCTCATTACTTATAAAAATTTCTGCAGCTGGCTTGAATTTTTCCTCAGAAAATGGGTTTTTCTTTACTATCACATCACCAGGCTGCATTTTCAAAACTATTAGCCTCTGCTTCCCTTTTAAACCTGTTTCAATTTCAAACCATCTTTTTTTGAATGCATAAAACTAAGTGCTTTTAAGAGCATCTAAGTCACTTCTTGAATGCTTTGCTTTTTGGAAATTTCTTCAGCCAGATACTCAAATTCATCTCTCTGAATTTCAATGTACTGCAGAGAGGGATAACATGGGGAGAAATGCCAGATATAGTATGCCCCTAAAGTAAAATACATAAATTTTTTTTAAAAAAAGAAAGTTCTAAACTTACCCACAACTTCCTGTGTTCTTCTGAGCCCTCCAAATTGTTCCAACCTCTGCCTGTTACCCAGTTCCAAAGTTACTTCCACATATTCAGGTATCTTTATAGCACCACCCCACTTTCTACAGATTTACTGTATTAGTCCACTCTCACATTGCTATATGAAAATGCCAGACACTAATTTATCTGATAATGTGATTTTTCTTTTTTCTCTTTTTTTTTTAAGACAAAGTTTTGCTCTTGTTGCCCAGGCTGGAGAACAAAGCCACGATCTTGGCTCACTGCAACCTGCACCTCCCGGGTTCAAGTGTTTCCCCTGCCTCAGCCTCCCAAGTAGCTGTGATTACAGGCATGCACCACCAAGCCCAGGTAATTTTGTAGTTTTAGTAGAAACAAGGTTTCTCCACATTGGTCAGGCTGGTATCGAACTCCCAACCTCAGGTGATACGCCTGCCTCAGCCTCCCAAAGTGCTGGGATTACAAGCGTGAGACATTGCACCCAGCCAAGACTCAGTGATTTATAAAAGAAACACATTTAATTGACTCACAGTTCCACATGGCTGGGAAGGCCTCAGGAAACACAATCATGGCGGAAGGCAAAAGGGAGCTTCTTCACATGGTGGTAGGAAGAATGACTGAAGGAGAAACTTGCCAAACATCAAACCGTCAGATCTCGTGAAAACAGTTACCTCCACCTGGTCTCTAATTCAAGAAGAGATATTGGGTGGGGGACAGCCAAACCATGTCACCATCTCAGTGCTGCTCCTTGTTATTGGTCTGTTCAGAGTTTCTATTTATTTCTGATTTAATCTAGGAGAGTTTTATACTTTGGAATTCATAAATCTCCTTTAGGTTTTCTAGTTTGTGCACATAAAGGTGTTGAAAGTAGCCTTAGTGATCTTTTCTACTTCTGTCATATTGTTTGTAATATCTCCCATTTCATTTCTAATAACTAGATTTTCTCTTCTTGATTAATCTCACTAAAGGTCTATCAATTTTGTTTCTCTTATCAAAGAACCACCTTTTTGTTTCATTTATATTTTGTAAGTTTTGTTTCAATTTCATTTAGTTTTGCTCTGATCTTTTGTTACTTCTTTTATTCTGCTGGGTTTGGGTTTGGTTTGTCCTTCTTTCTCTGGTTCTTTCAGGATTAACCTTAGAATGTTTGTACTCTTTCAGACTTTTTGATGTAGGCATTTAATGATATAAACTTTTGTCATAGCACCACTTTTGCTGTATCTCAGAGGTTTTGGTAAGTTGTATCACCATTATCATTCAGTCCAAAAAGTGTTTAAGTTTCCACCTTGATTTCACTATTGCCCCAACAATCATTCAGGAGCAGATTATTTAATTTCCATGTACTTGCATTGTTTTTGTGTTCCTTCTGGAGTTGATTTCCAATTACACTCCATTGTGGTCTAAAAGAGTACTTGATATGATTTTGATTTTCTTAAATTTAATGGCACCTGTTTTATGGCCTATCATATGGTCTATGTTAGGGAATGTTCCATGTGCTGATGTGTACTCTGTAGTTGTTGAATAGAATGTTCTGTAAATATCTTTTAAGTCCATTTGTTCTAGAATACAGTCAAGCCCATTGTTTACTTGTTGACTTTCTGTCTTAATCTGTGTAGTGTTGTCAGTGGAGTATGAAAGTCCCCCACTGTTATTGTGTTCCCATCTATCTCACTTTTTAGGTCTAACAGTAATTGTTTTATAACTTTGGAAGCTCCAGTGTTAGATGTATAGAGATTGAGGACTGTGATATTTTACTATTCGATGAGTCTTTTTATCACATTATATAATGATCCTTTCTTTTTTTAATTGCTGTTGCTTTCAAGTTTGTATTGTCTGATACAAGAATAGCTACTCTTGCTCCCTTTTGGGGTTCATCTGCATGGAGTATCTTTTTTCACTCCTTTACCTTTAGTCTATGTGAATCCTTATGTGTTAGATGAGTCTCTTGAAGACAGTAGATACTTGGTTGGTTAATTCTCAGCCATTCTGTCATTCTGTATCTTTTAAGTGAAGTATTGAGGCCATTTACATTCAACGTCAGTACTGAGATGCAAGGTATTCTTCTATCAATCATGCTAATTTTTGCCTGAATACCTTGGATTTTGTTTTATACTTTAAGTTCTGAGGTACATGTGCAGAACGTGCAGATTTGTTACATAGGTGCCATGGTGGTTTGCTGCATCCATCACCCCGTCATCTACATTAGGTATTCCTCCTAATGCTATCCCTCACCTATCCCCTAGCCCCCGAGAAGCCCTGGTGTGTGATGTTCCCCTCCCTGTGTCCATGTGTTCTCATAGTTCAACACCCACTTATGAGTGAGAACATGTGGTGTTTGGTTTTCTTGTCAGTTTGCTGAGATGATGGTTTCCAGATTCACCCATGTATCTGCAAAAAACATGAACTCATCTTATTTTAAGGCTGCATAGTATTTCATGGTGTAAATATGCCACATTTTCTTTATCCAGTCTAACACTGATGGGAATTTGGGTTCGTTCCAAGTCTTTCCTATTGTGAACAGTGCTAAAATAAACATGTACATGTGTCTTTATGACAGAATAATTTATAATCGTTTAGGTATATACCTAGTAATGGGATTGCTGGGTCAAATGGTATTTCTAGTTCTAGATCCTTGAGGAATCACCACACTGTCTTCCACAATGGTTGAACTAATTTACACTCTCACCAACAGCTTAAAGGTGTTCCTATTTCTCCACATCTTCTCCAGAATCTGTTGTCTCCTGATTTTTCTAAATGATCGCCATTCTAATTGGCGTGAGATGGTATCTCACTGTGGTTTTGATTTGCATTTCTCTAATGACCAGTGATGATGAGCGTTTTTTGGTTTGTTTTTTTTTTTTATGTTTGTTGGCTGCATAAAAGTCTTCTTTTGATTTTTTTTTTCTTTCCCATTTTATGAAGGGGTTGTTTTCTTCTTGTAAATTTAAGTTCTTTGTAGATTCTGGATATTAGCCCTTTGTCAGATTGGCAGATTACAAACAATTTTTCCCATTCTGTTGGTTGCCGGTTCACTCTAATCAGTTTCTTTTGCTATGCAGAAGCCCCTTAGTTTACTTAGATCCCATTTGTCTATTTTGGCTTTTGCTGCTATTACTATTGGTGTTTTAGTTATGAAGTCCTTGCCCATGCCTATGTCCTGAATGATATTGCCTAGGTTTTCTTCCAGGGTTTTTATGGTGTTAGGTCTTATGTTTAAATCTTTAATCCATCTGGAGTTAATTTTTGTATAAGGTGTAAGGAAGGGGTCTAGTTACAGTTTTCTCCATATGGCTAGCCAGTTTTCCCAATAACATTTAGGGAATCCTTTACCCCACTGTTATTTTTGTCAGGTTTGTCAATAATTAGATGGTTGTAGATGTATGGCAGTATTTTTGAGGCCTCTCTTCTGTTTCATTAGTCTATATCTCTGTTTTGGTATCAGTATCATGCTGTTTTGATTACAGTAGCCTTGTAGCATAGTTTGAAGACAGGTAGCATGGTGCCTCCAGCTTTTTTCTTTTTTTCCCCCTTGCTTATGATGGTCTTGGCTATGCAGGCTCTTTTTTGGTTCCATATGAAATTTAAGGTGGTTTTTTTCAATTCTGTGAAAAAACTCAATGGTAGCTTGAAGGGGATAGCATTGAATCTAAAAATTACTTTGGGCAGTATGGCCACTTTCATGATACTGATTCTTTGTAACTATGAGCATGGAATATTTTCCATTTGTGTCCTCTCTTATTTCCTTGAGCAGTGGTCTGTAGTTCTCCTTGAAGAGGTCCTTCATATCCCTTGTTAGTTGTATTGCTAGGTATTTTATTCTCTTTGTAGCAACTATGAATGGGAGTTCACTTATGATTTGGCTGTTTGGTTATTGGTGTATGGGAATGCTTGTGATTTCTGCACATTGATTAGGTATCCTGAGACTTTGCTGAAGTTGCTTATCAGCTTAAGGAGATTATGGGCTGAGACAATGGGGTCTTCTAAATATACAATTATGTCATCTGCAAATAGAGACAATTTGACTTCCTCTCTTCCTAATTGAATATCTTTTGTTTCTTTTTCTTGCCTGATTGCCCTGGCCAGAACTTCCAATACTATGTTGAATAGGAGTGGTGAGAGAGGGCATCCTTGTCTTGTGCCAGTTTTGAAAAAGGAATGCTTCCAGTTTTTGCCCATTCAGTATGATACTGGCTGTGGGTTTGTCATAAATAGCTCTTATTATTTTGAGATATGTTCTATTGACCCCTAGTTTATTTTTTAGCATAAAGCCTGTTGAATTTTGTTGAAGGCCTTCTCTGCATCTATTAAGATAATCCTGTGGTTTTTGTCTTTGTTTCTGTATATGTGATGGATTATGTTTATTGATTTGAGTATCCTGATCCTGCCTTGTATCCCAGGGGTAAAGCCAACTTGATTGTGATGGATAAGCTTTTTGATGTGGTGTTGGATTCGGTTTGCCAGTATTTTATTGAGGATTTTTACATCAATGATCATCATGGATACTGGCCTGAAATTTTATTTTTTAGTTGTGCCTCTGCCAGGTTTTGGTATCATCCTTGTAAGAGCTTTAGTGCTTCCTTCAGGAGCTCTTATAAGCTCTTATAAAATGAGTTAGAGAGGATTCCCTCTTTTATTTGGAATAGTCTCAGAAGGAATGGTACCAGATCTTCTTTGTACCTCTGGTAGAGTTCAGCTGTGAACCCATCTAATTCTGGACTTTTTTGGGTTTGCAGGCTATTAATTGCTGACTCAATTTTAGACCTTGTTATTGATCTATTCAGGGAATCAACTTCTTGGTTTAGTCTTTGGAGGGTGTAAGTGTCCAGGAATTTTCCATTTCTTCTAGACCTTCTGATTTATTTGCAGAAAGGTGTTTATGTATTCTCTGATGGTAGTTTGTAGTATGAGGTTGGTGGTAATATCCTCTTTATTTTTATTAAATCTATTTGAGTCTTATCTCTTTACTTCTTTATTAGTCTAGCTAGTGGTCTATCTATTTCATTAGTCTTTTCAAAAATCCTGGATTCACTGATTTTTTTTGAAAGGTTTTTTGTGTCTTGATCTCCTTAATTTCTGCTCTGATCTTATTTATTGTCTTCTGATAGCTTTTGAATTTGTTAGTCCTTGCTCCTCTAGTTCTTTTAATTGTGACATTAGGATGTCAATTTTAGATCTTTCCTTCTTTCTCTTGTGGGCATTTAATGCTAAAAACTTCCCTCTGCACACGGCTTTAAATGTGTCCCAGAGACTCTGGTACTTTGTGTCTTCGTTCTCATTGGTTTCAAAGAACATCGTTATTTCTGCCTTCTATTCATTATCCAGTAGTCATTCAGGAGCAGGTTGTTCAGTTTCCATATAGTTGTGCAGTTTTGAGTAAGTTTCTTAATCTTGAGTTCTAATTAGATTGCACTGTGGTTTGAGAGACTGTTAGGTTTTCTGTTCTTTTGCATTTACTCAAGAGTGATTTACTTCCAATTATGTGCTCAGTTTTACAATAAGTGTGATGTGGTGCTGAAAAGAATGTATTTTCTGCGGATTTGTGATGGAAAGTTCTGTAGATATCTATTAGGTTCTATAGCTGGTTCTCCTGAATAGAGCACACTGATGCATTTTGACTCTTTATCTAGCTTGCCAGTCTGTGTCTTTTAATTGGGGCATTTAGCCTACTTACTTTTAAGGTTAATATTTTTATGTGTGAATTTGATCCTGCCATTATGATGCTAGCTCTTTGTTTTGCTTGTTAGTTGATGCAGTTTTTTCATAGTGTTGATGGTATTTACAATTTGATTATACTTTTCCATGTTTAGTGCTTCCTTCATGAGCTCATAAGGCAGGCCTGGTGGTGAGAAAACCTTTCAGCAGTTGCTTGTCCTTAAAGGATTTTCTCCTTTGCTTATGAAGCCTAGTTTAGCTGGATATAAAACTCTGGGTTGAAAATTCTTTAAGAATGTTGAATATCGGCCCCCACTCTCTTCTGGCTTGTACAGTTTCTGCCAAGAGATCTGCCGTGAGTCTGATAGGCTTCCCTTTGTGGGTAACCTGAACTTTCTCTCTGGCTGCCCTTAGTATTTTTTCCTTCATTTCAACCCTTGTGAATCAGACAGGGGTTGCTCTTCTCGAGGAGTATCTTTGTGGTATTCTACTTATTTCTTGAATTTAAATGTTGGCTTGCCTTGCTAGGTTGGGGAAGTTCTCCTGGATAATATCCTAAAGAATGTTTTCTAACTTGGTTTCATTCTCCCCATCATTTTCAGGTACACCGATCAAACTTAGATTTGGTCTTTACATGTAATCCCATGTTTCTTGGAGGCTTTGTTCATTTCTTTTCACTTTTTCTCTAATCTTGTCTTCTAGCTTTATTTCATTGAGTTGATCTTCAATCTCTGATATCCTTTCTTTTGCTTGATTCAGCTGTTGAAACTTGTGTATGCTTCATGAAGTTTCTGTGCTGTGTTTTTCAGCTCCATCACGTCGTTTATGTTCTTTTCTAAACCGGTTATTCTAGTTAGCATTTCATCAAACTATTTTTTTTTTGCAGATTGTTAGCTTCCTTGCACTGGGTTAGAACGTGCTCCTTTAGCTTAGAGAATTTTCTTATTACCCACCTTTTGAAGCCTGCTGTCAGTTCATCAAACTCATTTTCTGTGCAGTTTTGTTCCCTTGCTGGTGAGGAGTTGTGATCCCTTGGCGGAGAGGAGGTGTTCTGGTTTTTGGAATTTTCAGCCTTTTTGCACTGGTTTCGCCTCATCTTTGTGGATTTATCTACCTTTGGTCTTTGAAGTTGGTGACCTTTGGATGGGGTCTCTGAGTGGACAGTCTGCTGATGTTGATGCTACTTCTTTCTGTTTGTTAGTTTTCCTTCTAACAGGCCCCTCTGCTGCAGGTCTGCTTGAGTTTGCTCGTGGTCCACTCCAGACCCTGCTTGCTCGGGAATCTCCAGCAGGGGCTGCAGAACAGCAAAGACTGCTGTTTGTTTCTTTCCCTTGGAGCTTCGTCCCAGAAGGGTACCTGCCAGATGCCAGCCAGAGCTCTCCTGTATGAGGTGCCTCTCAGCCCCTGCTGGGAGTTGTCTCCCAGTCAGGAAACACAAGGGTCAGTCTTTTATCAGAGCTAAAACACTGTGCTAGAAGATCCAGTGCTCTCTTTAGAGCTGCCA